GTTCGAGGTCAGAAATCATCGTACCTGATCGTGGAGTGAAGTCCTCTACTTATGGGTGGTAGTCCCGCTAATCTCGCGACGGTTACACCCGGTAATCTCGGGACCTTCGGTTACACCCGGTAATCTCGGGACCGACGGTTATACCCGATAATCACGCCGCTGACAGTAGCTCACATCGGCCCCCACCGAGCTTCCCGGTAGGTCGGACCTCGGCCAGGTTCACCTCGGCCCTCATACTTAGCATCTGTCAACGCTAGTGGTGGTGATCTCGGCGGTCCGAGCTGAGGCATGACTCATGGTCACCTTGGGGCACCAATGGCTGTCCTCCACGTGTCCAGGGTATTCTTTCCCCCAAACAGTGCCGTTTTTTGTCATCAAAACATGACAAGTACGAGGGCTCATCTACTCATATTTTTTGTTTAAATAATATTTGGGTCCATGTACTTTTGACTTTGGTTCATTTTGGTTCATTTTTTGTCCATGTACTTTCAAAACATACTTTCTAAACAGTCCCTCTACTTAAAACGACCAAGTTGGTGGTCCCTATTTGCAAAATTTCACATAATTTTATACATAATGGAGCTCTTTTAATACAAATTTATGGCTACATCTCAAGAAATGTAGTAAGTGAAGTGTCATGCTAAAATTATAATTTAAAGAAATAAGATAAAAATGAAAATGAAGTGATTAAAATAGTCACTTTTTAAAAATAAAGTGACCAAAATGGATGCGAAATGACCCGAACTAAAATGAAATAAAGTTGAGAGTATACGAACAAAAATGAACAAAAAAGTACGAGACTGAAAATAGTATTTAAACCTATATTTTTTTGGAGAATGGGAACGAGCTCTGTTGGTTTACTCAAACTTGTTATTGGAAGTTGAAATGTGGATTATGCATCAACCTTATACCATGTGAATGACTTGATCTTATTCTTGGTTGCATAGTTTGGAATGGATGGAAATTTGTAGATACTGTAATCTCGTCGACTCGTCCCGACTAGCATATAAGATTGATAGAAGTGCCATCACATAACAAAGTACTTAACGAGGGGGAAATGTATCCACAAAAGGGTCTTCACATGCTAGATCCTTATGATGATCATATGAAGAATGATTTTGATCGTTTTGAAGGCCTTTTTCCCATTCTTTTTTACACAAACATTGAAATACAGATTCTTGGTTGTGTTTGTTGCAGGCAGATACCGATAGAGATGGACGTCTAACCTTGACCGAGATGATTGACAACCCATTTGTATTCTACAATGCGGTTTTTAGCGAAGACGAAGACGAAGATGAAGTGGAGTATTTGTACCACAGTGAATTTCGTTAGCCAAATACAGTAAGAACATCATTTAAACTAATCAGTTATCTTCACATTCTTCATCTATTGACATCCTTGTAGATGATTGGTGGTTTCTTTCTCACGATGCAAAGAACGAAAACTACGGCGACAAACCTCGAAATTTTTCATGAGATTTTGCTTTGCAGATTATTGTTTATAGGTGATTTGCTTTGTTTTAGTCTTAGGCTTAGAGTCAAAGTTTTGATTTGTTGCATTTATTTATTTATTGTCATTTACCATTCATTTGTGATATTATAGGATTTTAGAGTAAATCAATAGGATTGACTTTTGTGAAAGTAATTGTTTCTCTTAGATCCTTTCTTTTTTCTTTTCCTCTCTTTTCAAATGAGTTTTGCCTTCAATATTAAAAATAAAAAATCAAACAAAATCGTTATTAAATAAGATCGTTAATTTATTTTCATTTAAATGAAAAAAATTTTCATGTTGATTAAATCTTCTACCAAAGTTGAATTCTAAGGGTGATTTTAATTTAACTCTGGAATGACATGGAATAAAGTCATAAAAATTGTGATAGAAAAGAAAAAAAAAAGAAAAGGAAAAATATTGAAAGATGGAAAGATGGAGAGATAGGTTAGGGATAATTGAAAAGGAAAATAATATGTTGGGGTATTTTTGAAAGATTTATGACGAATATTTAAGCCAACAAATAAACCTTTTATCTTTCTAAATAAGTAAAAAAAATATTAATATTATGTCTGTATATTGATATTTTTTTATATTTTTAATTTTATATATTTGTAAACTATGGCAGTGAGTTGAACCTAAAATAATATTAATTAATTTATTAATATATATTTTATAAAATTTGTAGAATTATTATATTGTAATATATTATATTTTTATTTTAATAGAAATGAAATAAACTTAATATCTGAAAATCCTAAAAACATGAAAATGTTGTTTTTAGAATTTCTATTATTCAGATCATATAATTCAAAAAATAGTTTTGAAAAACAAAATTTGCCAAAAGTGATTCTGGATTGTTTAAATATATATATATATATAAAAAGTATGCATTAATTTTTCCATTATGCAAACCACCATATTGATATATATAAAACAACAGAAACCCACCATCATTACCATGCAACCCTATGAGTCATCTCTTTTGGACGGTTAAGAGAATATTTCTTAATATTTTTTTTGAAATAAAACAATACATTAAAACACAATTAAGATATATAACTTTATTTTAGGCAAAATAAGATTATATAGAGAGATAAATTTCATAATTTGAGTGACTTATATATTGAATATAATAATTTTATAAAGCTTCTCAATTACTATTTTTAATTTGAAATTCAACACAATTTATCAAATTTGGAAACTATAATAAATCTATGTTTCATCACATTTTTATTATATTTCATTATTCTCTAAATAAAATTAATAAGCTCCCTTTAACGTTAAAAAAAGAAAAAAAAAAGATGGGACTAAGAAATAATCTCCCATGCATAGTAATTTATACCAAGTCAAAAACTTTATGAGTGCTAAAACTTAGAGAATCAAATTTCGAGAAAATTTCCATTTATAAACACAGAATTCAAAATCGAAATTCCACCAGTTTTGTAACATAAACTATTGTCAGATTATTTTTTTTTTTTTTTTAGAAAAAGAAATATAAATTTCAAGCAATAAACGTTTCTTAAAAAATTAATATGGAAAAGTTTTACCTTCCCAAAAAGTTAAATAGGAAATTATTGTACGTTTTAAATTATTAAATTGAAAATTTTAATCAACAAGATTAACAATCCCGCTACTATATATTTTACAACGAAAGAAAAATAATTCTCTAACAAAATATGTAACAATTATGAACAATTATATTTTTTTAATCCAATCAGGAGCGAGATAAATTAGGTTTAATTATCAATAAAAAGTGAAGCTTTTAGTGGTATTAATAGTCCAATTATTGATAATTAATTAATTAGTACCCACTCGTGCATGAGTTTGTGATATTTCCAATGTTCCACTTAGCTTATTATTTAAATATATATTTATAATCCGACCAAAATTTTTTGGTCTTGTCGTATTTAATTAATGTATTAATTGTGCTCTGCCCATATCTTATATTATAATCTGCATAATCCATCCCATTCAATGGCATATTTGATTAGTGGGCATACCACAAATAATTTTTTTTTTTTTAAATAAACTATATATGTTTCTTTTCAATTGATAAACTCAGCTGCCATCAAAACATATAGTTAAAAATTCCAGTGTTGGGAATTAATATCTTATTAATTAGGTGGAATCATTAAACTTTTTTGCATTTAGAAAAAAGTAATATAAAAAACATGCATGCACTCAATTTAATGTAAAAGGTGGTGTTAGTTAAAAGTGCTTTAATTTAATTTATTTATTTTTTAATCTTTAGTCTTTCTTTTTTTTGTCAAATGTCATCAAACGTTATCTTTCTCCTACTAAAATTTTGCATGTTATTTTTCTCTTATTTCAAAGGTTAAATTGAATTTTTAATCCCTTTAGATAAAAAAAATATATATATATTATTATTGTCTTTATTTTTCATTTGAATTTAACAAACTCTCTACTCATGAGTGAGAACTAACAGAAATGTAGATTGAGCGAGGCATTGGATATGGTATATTGTTGGTTACTTCAGAATAGGAATTTGTTCTTCCTTTTTTTAACTTCTAATAAAAACAATATTCTAAAACCTTACTAAAAATAATATTTCTCTTTTAACTATTATTACTTATTTTCAAAGTATTTGATAAATGATTAATTTACCGTAATTCATAAACTTAATTAAACTTTTGTGTTAAATGATGATTTAGCATGGTGTTTGATGAATCTTCATATGTGCAATTCCTCAGCCCATAAGTGGAAGGAAATATTTGAATTTATAAATGACTAAATTTAGGTGTAACTCATCAATTTAAGTTGTTTAATTCAACAGTGGTACTTATCCAACTTCATGAAAAAAGTTTTATAACGTTCAAAAGGCTCGTTGAGCGCCTCATTTATTAAAAAAAATGATGTGTTGATACTGATATCTAGTCTGCTTACGTGTCCGTCGAAAAGTGACGTGTGGGGCACTCTCGATTGTACGTAACCTACAAAATATATATTGAACTCAACACTGGGGTTGTACTCCCTCTAATGCACCCCGAAACTTAAGTCAATGTTTGTTCGGATGAGACACTAGAAGAGCCTAACGGTTGGTACAAGAAATTATATGCCTTAATAAAAGTTTTGGCTCCTCTTTTTATTGAGGAGCGTAATTCGAGCGTGCTCTACTTCATATATCAAAGGACGATTTTATCCATAACATAATAGTTTTTTTAGTACAACATGTAGGAATAAAGATTTAAATTCAGAAATAAGTGTCTTAACCATGATCAAATTAGCACCGGTAACAAGGGCTGTGGAACTCATTTGAATAAACAAAATCGAAAAGGTAATTTTTTTTAAAGCAAAAAAGCACTTTCATATTTTTTTCAAGTAAAAAATAAAATGAATTTTGAGAGAAAGAATGGCGTGTTGCATTGTAATGATTAAAAAACTGCCCCTAACTTTTTGGCAAACTATAAATGAACTGGATATGCACTCTTCTCTCTGCCTTCACATCACGCGTGACAACTTTTTACATACATATAATTTATTCACTATATATTATAATTAGTTAAAATACTATTTGTTAATATATTTTAATTTTGGTTAATTYTAGTACTTCTAACTCTAACTCCGATTCCTTTTAACTTGTATGCTTTTAAAATGTTCATTTTAGATTCTTTATTTTTTAAAGTGACTATCTTTGTCCCTTAATCTTATTTTTAATGTCGTTTTTTATATCGCAATTTCAACATGGTATTATAATCAATATATTCTTTTAAAATATAACTATGATTTTATATTAAAGGATTTTCATTAGGTGTGGAATTTGTGTTAACATTTTGCAAAATATAAACTACAATAATGACTTTTTAAAAGTATAAGGACGAGATCGAACATTTTAAAAGTACAATGATAAAAAAAGAATATTTTGAAAGTACAAAAACCAAACTAAATAAAAGTTCAAAATACATGAGCGATAATAATATCTTTTAACTATTATAACATGATTGTTCAAATATTATATTATAAAGTACCGAGAGAAATTTCAATTCATAGTTTAGGTTAAATTATCAATTTGTTCTCTATTTTATTATAATTTAATATTTATATAATTTCGAAATTTTCAATTTGATTTTATATAAATTTAGAAAAACTTTCACAAATTGTCTCCATGTCTACAAATTTTTTTTTTTTAACGTAACATCCACGTGTTCTTTCTCTATTCAATATATGACACATTTTGTATTTACATGAAAATGGAGTAAATATTTTCTATTTGACTAACTCTTTTAACTATAGGGAAAAAAATTAAAGGAAGGTGATAGTTCTTTTCAGTGAATAAAATACGATATCTCGTTAATTTGCATGGTTTAACTAATTTATCGAAACTAATTGACTTATATTTAGGTAAAAGTATATTGATTGTTGAATGAATTTGTACACATTAACATAATGTTTCTACTTAATCAGTGAAAGATCATTCTTTTTTTTAAATAATTTTATGAAAGGTGATTTTTTTTTTTGATGATTAACCTAACCTATCCTACCCTATGCTAAGGTCATTAATTTAATTTCAAATTCTCTTCTCCTAAAAGCCTACATCATCTCAACTAACCCCATTCACTTTTTAATTGCTCTCTCTCTCTTTAATATTTTCTTTTAATTTCCCTATAAAAAGAATATAGATTTCTTTTAATTTCATTATTTCATTCTTTAAATATATTTTTAACACAAACTATTAATATTGTGTTAATTAAATTAAAACTAAATTAATTGTTCAAGCATATATCTTTCTTATTTTTTTCAAGGTCCAAGCATGTCTTGTTTACAATGCTTTGAAAAAAAAGTAAGCAATAATAACACACTTTTCAAACTTGATTGAGATGTCATTAATTTAATTATTTAATTAATGTTAACACTAGATTAACTAAATAAACTTTCTCTTTTTTTTTTCAAATATGATTTGCAATTTATTTATTATAAAAAAAACTTATTCATTTTCTAAACACACTCATCAAACTAATTTTATGTATTTATTTAGTGTAAGATTATTTAATAAAATAATTTTACTTTTTGAAAAAAAAAATTGTTAACTAATAATATCGATTGATAATTTCATGAGTGGACTCACCTTTAGAAAGGAATCAAGAGGCATTTTAGTATTTCATTATATTATTGTCCTTTTAAATAATCTTATTTATTATTATCATTATTTTTAGAATAAGTAATAAATATTATTTTAGAGAGAGGATGTATGTGAATTTATATATATTGTTAATTAACTATCATGAAATTAGGTATTAATTGCATTTATAATAAAGTAAAGCAAGATTTGAGAAAAAATAATAGCAAGATAAGATAAGATAAGGGTAGATTTCGAATGATGTGTGTCGATATCAGCTCACACAAAACATGCACAAAAATATAGAATTCATCTATCTATTTCAACTAGTTAAGATTTCTATGTGCGACAAAAAAGTTTTTAAATATTTTTATACGTTTGAATATATGTATAAACATTTAGGGATAAAATATTTGAATAACTACATTAAAAAAAAACTGTTGTTTTATAGTTTATTTTCATCAATCATCTATTTTTTAAAACAATTTAAATTTATTAACAATTATGGGTTTAGTTGTCCAAACGACGGAGTCTAAATTCTATGAATGAGAGTTCAAACCACGGTGGCTCACCTACCTATCATCTTATAAATTCTTTTCACTAAAAAATTGCAAGTGAGTCTGTTAATAAAAGAAAAAAAATGAATAACCTTAAATTTCAATTATCCATTATTTAAGAAACTCTATTTCTACCAACGCTGGATTAAGAAATTACTATATTGGACATCCACGGATGTTAAAAGAAAACAATTAAATTTGTTACACTTGAATAGTTGTTTTTTTGTAATTATAATTTTGAAAAAAAAAATTTAATATTATTTTAATACTAAAAGAAAACTACTCATTTTATTGGTATTGGTTTGTATTTTTATACTTTTTTATTTAATATATCAATCGCTTTTTGTTCTTTTTTTTTTCGCTCTCTTAAAAATTACACAGAGGTATGATTATTTATATCTGATGTTTATTTTAATAATTTCAAACAATACTCACAAACCATTAATTTCAATAATAATTATTCAATTTAGATTCTCCATTCTGTAAGAGTTGTTGGCAACAAAGGAAAAGATTTAGGAAAAAAGGAAAAGGTATTTGGGAGCTTCTAGATTATTCATTTAATAGTGATTCTTTTATGCATGCCCACCAAAAGTAATTAAGATCAGGGATGTATATTATTGGAGGTCCAAAAAACTAATCCGGCATATCAAAACCAACCGAATCGATATCAGTTGGTCGATTTCATCACAGTTGGCGTTTGAAACGATAATAAACTCTCAAATTGACCAACCAATATAATTGGCTCACCGACATTTTTATTTTCATTTTCTCACACCTCTACCCGACGTTCTGTCTCTCACTCCTTCTTTTCTTTGCATTGTCGATTCGTTGCCCTAAATCAGCCCCACTCGCATCAGCCGTCCATTTCCACCGCAATCCAGCCTTATCCATCTGTCTTGTCCCTAAAGGAAAAATAGTTGGTTTGTCGAAAACTGATGGACCAAGCTGACTTTTCCATCGACCAGTGGAAAACCAACAAAATGGTTGGTCTATTTTCAAACCAACCGTGTCTCGACGTGATCAGTGTCGGTATGGACTTGAAAATCGACCTGACTGATCCATGTACACCTCTAATTAAAGACTATCAAACCAATCTAAGTATACATATTCAGTGAATAATATATTTATTATCATCTCCAAATCGATGGATTGATCTCCATCCCTACCATTATTAAAATCATAAACAAAAAATTTGCAGACGAGTTTATTAATAAAAAAATTGATAACCATAAATTTTAATCATCCATTATTTTAAAATCCCTATTTTGCACACATGCTAAATTAAGAAATTACTCTATTTCACCCATGTACTTCACCATTGCCACAATATAGATTTGAGTACATCCCAAACCTAATTTTAGAAACCAATATCACTTAAAAAAAAATGCAGTGATGATCTATATAGTCCCCACTCAAAATCATTAAATGATAAAACCTTTTGTCTAATAACCAACCATCGACCCCAAATTAAGACTCTTGACGTTCAACCTAAATCGTCCCCAAATTAAGACTCTTGACGTTCAACCTAAATCGTCCCAACGTTAGACCATAGTTTAACAAGATTATAATTAATCCAAAACTCCACCATAAATCAAGGCTTGAATTAATCCGAACCGTGACCTATACCATATAATATATTAGATACTAAAAATCAAGACTAGAATTAAACGAACCATAGTCTATATCAATAGACCGACATGATCATATGACCGATCTAGATCCATGTCAGAATTTGAAAGGAAATACCATACAAATAATTGTACTAGCACGACAAAACTCCCCCACAAAATTCTCAATAACTCCAAAAGAAAAAAAATTTAAAAATAAAAAAAAAATATATCTGTTTTTTTCCCCTCTCTTAATATATATTTTTTCTCCCCAAATGCAAAACCAAATAAATTCCTGGATCCTGCTTCCTCCTGTCCCTCAAATAAACCAAAACCCCAACTCCAAAGGTCCCATTTTCCGCAGCCAAAAAATCATGCTTCCCAAAATACCCTTCCCCCTCCTCTTCCTTCTCCATCTCCTCATCTTCTCCGCCGCCGCCGCCACCGACTTCCAATTTCTTAACGTCAAAGAAACCAAATTCGACTCCAACGACGATCGCATTCTCCACAACCTTAACTTCTCCGACGGCCACCGGCAAGTTACCGGTAAAAAATCCAACAGTAGCAGTAGCACTAAATTCAAGCTGAAGCTCGTCCACCGGGATAAGCTCCCGCCGTCCCACGTCCACGGCCGCCGCCACGGCTTCGTTGAGCGCATGAAAAGAGACGCCTCAAGGGTCGCCGCCCTCGTCCGCCGCCTGTCCCACGGCGGCGCCGACAGCAGTTACAAGGCGGCGAATTTCGCGACGGATGTCATTTCAGGCAAGGGAAATTATGAATAAAAAAATTAAAACTTTTTAAATTTTTTTAATACCCTTTTGGGATTTATTTATTTATTTGTTTTCGTTGGTGATTTGGAATTAGGGATGGAAGAAGGTAGTGGAGAATATTTTGTTCGGATCGGGGTTGGTAGCCCGCCGAGGAGTCAGTATATGGTTATTGATTCCGGTAGTGATATTGTGTGGGTCCAATGTCAGCCTTGTAGCCAATGCTACCAACAGTCCGACCCGGTTTTCGACCCGGCCGATTCCGCCTCTTTCACCGGCGTCTCCTGTGGCTCCTCTCTTTGCGACCGCCTTGAGAATGACGCTGGCTGCCACGCTGGACGGTGCCGATATGAGGTGTTGTATGGCGATGGGTCTTACACCAAGGGTACTCTCGCTCTCGAAACTCTCACCATCGGCGAGGTGAGTTGAATTCCTACCTAACTAAAAAGTTTAAATAAATAGGTGAAAATATATTTACTTAAAGCTAACTTGCATGTAATTTTATGATTGTGTATAAATTATTGGGTCCATATATATATTTTAAATAATATTAACTAATAATGATACTGTCATTCAAAAATTGACAGTTAATTAATTTTTTTCCTTTAAATTATCTATGTTTGCAGTTCTTTTTATTAGTTGACAAATATTTAATAGTGGTAAGCAGCTCTCCTACTTGACATAAGAATTTATAATTTTTTTTTCAATACAATAAATTGTGAGTATGGGAGATCGAATCTCCAAAGTCGAGAGAATAAATAGATTCTAACTATCATTGAGATATGTTCATGTTATCATAATTCATAATTAGTAGGTTATTGAATATAGGTTACAAAGATTTCAAGATTTTTTCTTTTTCCAAATTAAAGTTTAAATTTTTTTTTTATAAAAATTATGAGTCCTAGTTTTGAAAATTTAAGATTTATTACAAAACTTTTTAAAAATAAATACAAAGACGAAACTTATAAATTTAAACCTTTTGTTAAACAGTGAAACTGGAAGAAAATGAGATTACAATTATTCTAAATTTATTTAATCATTTATTTATTTATATATTTTTAAAAAGGTCGTGGTTCGGGATGTGGCGATCGGATGCGGTCATACGAACCAGGGCATGTTCATCGGAGCCGCCGGTTTACTTGGTCTCGGCGGCGGCTCCATGTCGTTCGTCGGCCAGCTCGGCGGTCAGACTGGCGGAGCATTCAGCTACTGTTTGGTGAGTAGAGGGTCCGGTTCGACCGGAGCATTAGAATTCGGCCGGGGAGCA